AAGTGGAGAAAAAAAGGGGAGGGGATTTTTAAAATCTATAAACACCCGACAGTGATACGGAGAAAATTTTATATAATTGATTTCAATAGTTCTCTACTATGTAATGCAATAGCCTACTGATCATCATACTTATTTTAAAATAAATTTAGGAAGTAAAATACTGGTAGATATTTCTTTTAGTCTGAAAATTTTATACATTACAAAGTTAAACCCCAGAGCATATACATAAATATGCTATCCAGACCTCAGGAAATATGTACATCAGTACAAATAAACACTTATCCACAACAAGAACTATTCACCTCGGCCAAGCCCTCGGGATTAATTCCCGTCGCGGGTTTGATAAAATAGCTATATCCAATTCACAACGAGTGGATTATAGTAAGTGTATAATATTACATCAGAGGTCCCTACCCTGGTGCTAGATTTGAGCATCAGTTGTCAAAGTTCAATTTAAAAAACAGTATTTCTGCAGTATCTACATGTCTAGTATAATGTTTCAGGCACGTAGGAAGCAATTTCAGTTGGGGGGGGGGGGGGGGGGGGGGCACAGCCATACATTTTTAGTTAAGGGGCACTATCAACTACCAAAAATTCCTTGACAAGCAGAGAAAAAAAAGGTCATCCAGACGTTTTTATTGAGGGGGCACAAGCTAGTAGTAGCTATATTTTCTACAGTAATCTGTATATCGGCAAAATTATTGGGGACAATGCCCCCCGTACCCCCCCCCCCCCGTTCCTACGGCCAACTGTTTATTATACAGTAAACAGTCCCCTACTGCAATTGGCGTCCAACTCTTTCAAATAACCTTGTAAAGCAATATAATCAAAATAAATTCTTTCATCTGCTCAAACTATGTAACCAATACTCGAAAAGTTAAGAGTATGTGAGTGGATCTAATTTTAATTCTAAGCTTACATTGCATCTCCATTTAATATACATGAATCAAAATTGGTACCATATATGATTTACATTATGACTCCTGGGTCGAGGCCTCTGCTGGTGGACTGTTAGTCCCCGAGGGTCTCTACAGCCCAGTAACTTCGGTACTAGCTTGAAAATACGGATATATATTTAACCGCTGTGGTAATATTTAGAAATTTATTTCAAAATTAAGGATTATATCCCTCGTGCATAGCTCTGATCCTTCGACGTATTTGGATCCAGTCTTTGGCACTTTTTTCAGCTCTTCCAATTCTTTTTATTTAAATTTTGGATTCCCAACTTTTCGGCTTGAGCATCACTGAAGAGACATAATTAGTCGAAATGCGCATCTGGTGCATCAAAATTGGTACCGTATATGATTTACATGTATATACATGTATCTTGCTACTTTGCCTGCACATTTTTTTTCTTTTGGCCGCAATACACTTTAATATAGAAATCAATTATTTTATATTTCTGCACATATGATTAATGATCTAATTTGAGAGAAGCGAAGAGTATTGAATTGTCATTACTACACAATCTGAACAAATCAATACCATTTTTGACTGTATAATTTTTCACATAGTGCATTGTCATTTATATGAACAAAACAGCCCAACAGGTGTCTGCTTCTATCTGTAACTTATTGGTCAAAATCCATAATTTTATGCTGCAAAGATATCTTTACTCAAATATAGTAAAAGTTCAAAGAATTCTCTAAAAATTAAAATTTGTATATTAATGGGGTATTCAAAAGGACTGCAAACGATAGTATTGTTCTGCAGCCTACCTATTAGTCATTTTTTAAAAGTTAACATATATGAATGATTTTTCATATTTATATAGATATGTGAATTTTCATGAAGCAAACCTTATTTGGGTAAACAAAGAGAGATAACTCTATAACTTGGTAAAACGCGCGTTTTCACTATAGAAATCAATGGAAACAGAAAATATTTTTTACCCCCCCCCCCCCTTGCCCTGAAACAAAAATTCCTTTTTACAGATATAATGAACTGTTTTTTCACAATTTCATATCAAAGCTTTTATTCTTCACGGGGGGGGGGGGGGGGGGTGGGGGGGGGGGGTTTCCATATGTTTACAGACAAAAAACTTTAAAATTCGTCATTTTATTACTAATTGTTAATGAGATTATCAATTAAACAAGAGGCCCAAGGGCGTTGAATCACTCTTCTGATAAACTGTACAACCTATCACTTCTATTTGAAGCCTCTAAGTATCCTGTATATTTAGATAAACCCTTGAAATTCCAATTCACATTCTGAGAAGCCAAGATGATTCTAAGCCAATTAGTACCTGAGAGTTGGTCATGGTGACCTACTTATCACTTGTCATTCTCTGAGGACCCATCAATTAAGTTTGATGATTCTAAACCAGTTAATACCTAAAATATTTTTTTAAAATCATAACCATAAAATTTTATAAGTAGGTCAACTTTTCAGTTGTTGTACTCCAAGGAACTAAGATGCACCAACTGACAAAGTTTGATGATTCTAAGTCAATTAGTACCTGAAATATTTAAATAAAGCCATAAATTTTCAAAAGTAGGTCATGGTGACCTACTTTTCAGTTGTTGTACTCAAGATACATCAACTGACAAAGTTTGATGATTCTAAGCCAAGTAGTACCCAAAATATTTAATTAAGGTCAGACGACACGTTTCTCAAAAATATATAATTTTTCCCAAGAATTTGTCATTGAAGTATTGCTACTTAAACAAGTTTCCTCACCAAAAATTGAGGTACCTTACCAGACATTTGGGCAAGATACCAGAGGGTGATATTTCCTATATAATCCATATAGGTAATCTTTTGATTTCCAATGTTACAATTTCTGGTGTACTTATTTTTTAAAACATATTGAAAACAATTAAGAAATCACAAGAGAATGACAATTATGAATAATTTTTGATATGATACCAAGGTATACTATACAAAACATATAATTGAGTAACGTATCGTCTGGCCTTAAAGCCATAAATTTTCAAAAGTAGGTCACGGTGACCTACTTTTCAGTCAACCTACTCCAAGGACCCAAGATGCATCAACTGACAAATTTTGGTAATTCTAAGCCAAATAGTACCCAAAAATATGAAATACAGCCATAAAATTTCAAAAGTATGTCACGGTGACCTACTTTTCAGTTGTAGTACTCTAAGGACCCAAGATGCATCAACTGACAAAGTTTGATGATTCTAAGCCAATTAGTACCTGAAATATTTAATTAAAGCCATAAATTTTCAAAAGTAGGTCACGGTGACCTACTTTTCAGTTGTTGTACTCCGAGGACCAAAGATGCATCAACTGACAAAGTTTGATGATTCTAAGCCAATTAGTACCCGAAATATTTAATTAAAGGCCATAAATTTTCAAAAGTAGGTCACCGTGACCTATTTTTTAGTCGACCTACTCCGAAGACCCAAGATGCATCAACTGACAAAGTTTGATGATTCTAAGCCAATTAGTACCCGAAATATTTAATTAAAGGCCATAAATTTTCAAAAGTAGGTCACCGTGACCTATTTTTTAGTCGACCTACTCCGAAGACCCAAGATGCATCAACTGACAAAGTTTGATGATTCTAAGCCAATTACTACTTGAAATATTTAATTATAGTCATATAAATTGAAAAGTAGGTCAAGGTGACCTACTTTTCAGTTGACCTTTTTTTGAGGACCCAAGATGCATCAACTTACAAAAGTTTATGATCATAGGCCTTAAAATGTCCAAATTATGCCTCTAAAACGCTTTGAAATCAAATGCCTGCAAAATTCAAAAAGTAGGTCACTGTGACCTACTTTTTAATAAATATGTTTTATGGCCCCAAGATGCATCATCTTACAAGATTTAATGATTCTAAACCTCTCGGTATTTGAATTAATGACCTTAATTGTTTTGAAAAAGATTAGCCATAAAGTTCAAAAAGTAGGTCAAGGTGACCTACTTTTTAATTGACGTACTTTGAGGAGCCAAGATATAGGACCCAAGATATATTAACTGACAAAGTTTGATGATCATAGGCCTTAAATTGTTTAAAATATGCCCCTGTAACATTTTGAAAAAGAATGGCCGCAAAAGTTAAAAAGTAGGTCACCGTGACCTACTTTTGAGTCAACATGATATGAGGTCCTTAGATGCATCAAATGACAAGATTTGATGATCCTAGTCCTTATAGTAAGCAAAATATCACCATTTTAATAAAATGTAATTTTTGGTCAACTTTGAAGTGACCATGAGACCACACCCTTTGCCCCAGGGTAAATCTCCCTGCAAATTTTAATCTACAACATATCCTCATCCTTTTGTGTAAGTTTGGTGATAATCTGCCCAGTGGTTCTTGAGAAGAAGATTTTTTAGCAACCAGTACTTTTGTTTCTATTTTCCTAATTATCTCCCCTTGTTTAAGGGTCACAACCCTAGTTTTAGTATAAAAGGGATCCCTTGGGTCAAGGATACCCTGTGACAAATTTGACAATAATTGGCCAAGGGATTCTTGAGTTATGGCCCATATTCTAAAAAGTTTACACACACAGCAAAAATGGCCTTTGGCTCAGAAGAGCTAAAAATGTAATTTATCAATCTTATATGTTGAATTTTACAAAAATTAAACATACAGAGAGATTTCAGGGTCATTTACCCATTTTCACGAGCATCTGGAAATCTTATGATGTTTTAAGCCCGATTTCAATGAATTATAAATGTTCAACAACACCCCCCCCCCCCTCCCCCTTATGAAAAGAGAATTAAATAAGAGCAATTAACATTTTGATAGTGGTTTTAAAATTATTAATCAATTACTAATGAACTCTTCTTTGCATTCAAACAAGTTTTAATGGCCAAATTACCAATTATATTGAACTAAATGGATGTAAAATGTAGGCGGGGATTGAGATTTAGCGTGCATAGTTCTTTGAGGACATTTCATGAAATGGAAAATGTGAAGAAAGAAAAGCTGCCTACAAATAAATGTTTCTGGCAATTACAAACTTTGACCAATTTCAGAGTCCATGACATTTGGTGTCAAGGTATTGAAGCAAAAACATCACAGACAATACTTTTGAAAGTCTTTATTTTTGTTTGAGGAGGACGGAATGTACTACATTTTACAATGAAAATTCATATAAAAACATAAAGTGATATAAACAGAGTAAACACGTGCAGTATCAAGCAGTATATCATTGATACACCAAAAAATTCATCAACACTGGTATGCCTTGAATTCTAATGATACAAAGTGGTTCACTCTTGAAACACATTCATAAATTTGTGCAACTTTTGAACACATCTGATCTAAGGGACATGGCTTGTAGTTTTTCTACTTTAAATGACCAGTCATTTTGAGTATGTCTGCTGCCAAGGAGGAAATAGCAACATCTGCATGAGAACTGTAAGTAAACAAAATTCTGATTAATCATTATGTCTAGATCTTAAATGACACTTGAGGATCTTTTTTTGATTGGTTGATGTGTTTTAATCATCATTAACTGACCTGGCAGTTTGGACAAGATTTCTGATGGTGTTGGCTAAAGTTTCCCCATGTTGTCTCATAGACTCTATATGCACCTTCTCTGTACTGAGCTAAAATTCAAACAGATTTTTATTTAAATCTTACTTTTCTGCCTGTTGTGCGGCAACAGGTTATAAACATATAACATTACATATATAAATACTTTTCAAAATTGATCCAGTCAACAAGACCAGGTAGACAAATATAATATAATTAAAAGAATATACAAAAGTAACAAAATCACTAGGTTTCTAGATTCAGTTTACATATGTATAGTAACTTAACAAACTGTTATATCCACCCATCAGAATTTAATTATATAAAGAAATTAACCAACTTTTAAATCCACCAAGCAGTATTTGCCTATGTGTACTAGTAAATTGACAAACTATTAGATGAATTTAGATCCACCCTTCAGTCTTTACTTATATACAGTAACTTGATCCATGCCTTTACTTATTTAATGCGACAAAATTGTTGGATCTACCTAAAGTATAACTAATATACCACCTACCAGTCTACGAATTGTTAGAATCACCCACCAGTCTAACAATTATATTCTACTCAAATTGTTAGATCCACCTACCAACTAGTCTTATTTAATGAACTGTAAGATCCACCTACCAGTCTTTTAATTATCCTCAACAAAACTTTCTGTTTCTTGACATCAGCTTTCTTCAGTGCCTTACTGTAGTACTCCTGGCATAACATTTTTATAAGCATTGACTAATTAAAATTCTCATTACATATTTAATATTTCAAACAGAAAACTTATTAAAAACTTTGGCATGATATCTAGGTGAAATTTGATTAAAAAAAACATTGTAGTACAATGTTATAATTATACTTTAAAGTAGGGATGTCAAAATATTTATTTTCCTTAGTCGATTATTCAATTGCATAATTCGAACGATAGTCGAATATTCGAAACACTTTCTGAAAAAAACAAGATGTGTTTGTGAAACACTGATGCCCCCTTATGGCAGCTTATGGTGAAGGTTAAAGTTTCTCAAATGCAAGTCAAAATCCAGGCCAAAAGATAAAAAATGTTAAATTTGAAAGCCCTAGCTGCAACTGTTCAAAAGTTATGGTGAAGGTTAAAGTTTTTTAAAAGTAAGTAAAACATCAAGGTCAAGGTCAAAGTTGTTGGTATCCAAAGGAAGGTCTTGTCACAAGGATTACATATGTAAAGTATGAAAGCACTAGCACCAACCATTCAAAAGTTATGGCCAAGGTTAAAGTTTTTCGAAAGTAGGTCAAACTCCTTTGTCAAGGTCAAAGGGTCAAAGTGGTTGGTATCCAAAGGAAGGTCTTGTCACAAGGATTAAATATGTGACGTATGAAAGCCTTAGAACCAACCATTCAAAAATTATGGCCGAGGTTAAAATTTTTCAAAAGTAGGTCAAACTCCTATGTCAAGGTCAAAATGTCAAAGTGGTTGGTATTCAAAGGAAGGTGATGTCACAAGGATTACATATGTGAAGTATGAAAGCCCTAGAACCAACCATTCAAAAATTATGGCCAAGGTTAAAGTTTTTCAAAAGTAGGTCAAACTCCTAGGTCAAGGTCAAAAGGTCAAAGTGGTTGGTATCCAAAGGAAGGTCTTGTCACAAGGATTACATATGTGAAGTATGAAAGCCCTAGCTCTAACCGTTCAAAAGTTATGGCCAAGGTTAAAGTTTTTCAAAAGTAGGTCAAACTCCTAGGTCAAGGTCAAAGGGTCAAAGAGGTTGATATCCAGAGGAAGGTCTTGTCACAAGGAATACACATGTGAAGTCTGAAACCCCAAGCACGAACTGTTCAGAAGTTATGGCCAAGGTTAAAGTCTCATAAAATTTTGCAAAAGTGGGTCAAACTCCAAGGTCAAGGTCAAAAGGTCAAATATGATGGTAACCAAAGAAAGGTCTTGTCACAAGGAATACACCTGTGAAATATGAAAGTCATAGCTCCAACCAATCAAAAGTTATGGGCAAGGTTTAAGTTGACAACAGACAAACAGACAAACAGACAGACAGGACAAAAACAATATTCCCCCGGGATCTTTTGATCTGGGGGCATAAAAATTATTTCAAACTTCACTGGTATGCATGGATAGCATGATTATATGAAATAAATTTAGAAACGTAAGGCCATCTTTAAAACATAGGTATTCAGAGATTACAGAGCTCACCTCAACGAATGTTGTCTTTAAGTAAGGCAAAGTCCCACACTAAACTAATAATCTAGGAGTGTGCATCCCTAGATGCAACATTTATGCAATTTTGGTCTGATAGGGCTTGCAGTTACTTGGGAATAGACTTATCTGAAAACTTAAAACTAGTCACTCAGCCAGAAAATGTAAGTCAAATCCAGCATCCGAAGCAAGTTTTGAGATTGTTTGTCCCTTGATGCATCATCCATGCAAGTTTGATTCAGATAGACCTTATAGTTACTTGGAAATGAGATCTGCTCCAAAAACTTTAACCTGGTTACTCATCCGGAAAATGTAGGTCATATCAACAATCCGAAGCAAGTCCAGTAGTGTGAATCCTTAGATGTATCATCCATGCAAGTTTGGTCAATATAGGGCTTATAGTTACTTGGAAATGAGACCTGCTCCAAAAACTTTAACCTAGTCACTCATCCGGAAAATGTAGGTCAGATCCAGCATCCGAAGCAAGTCCAGTAGTGTGCATCCTTAGATGTATCATCCATGCAAGTTTGGTCAATATAGGGCTTATAGTTACTTGGAAATGAGATCTGCTCCAAAAACTTTAACTGGTCACTCATCCCAAAAATTTAGGTCAGATCCAGCATCTGAAGCAAGTCCAATAGTGTGCATCCTTAGATGTATCATCCATGCAAGTTTAGTCAATATAGGGCTTATAGTTACTTGGAAATGAGATCTGCTCCAAAAACTTTAACCTGGTTACTCATCTGGAAAATATAGGTCAGATCCAGCATCCGAAGCAAGTCCAGTAGTGTACATCCTTAGATGTATCATCCATGCAAGTTTGGTCAATATAGAGTTTATAGATACTTGGAAATGACATCTGCTCCAAAAACTTTAACCTGGTCACTCATCCAGAAAATAAAGGTCATATCCAGCATCCGAAGCAAGTTCAGTAGTGTGCATCCTTAGATGTATCATCCATGCAAGTTTGGTCAATATAGGGCTTATAGTTACTTGGAAATGAGACCTGCTCCAAAAACTTTAACCTAGTCACTCATCCGGAAAATGTAGGTCAGATCCAGCATCCGAAGCAAGTTTAGTAGTGTGCATCCTTAGATGTATCATCCATGCAAGTTTGGTCAATAGAGGGCTTATAGTTACTTGGAAATGAGACCTGCTCCAAAAACTTTAACCTGCTCCAAAAACATTAACCTGGTCATTCTTTAGCTGAAATTGCAGCATTTGAAACCTTGACTGGTACAATGAAACACACTAGAAGCATCCTCCATGCATCTCTGACTAATATAGGCCATAGAAGTACTTGAAAGAAAACTGCTCCAAAAACCTTAACCTGGGACGCCGACGCCAAGGGTATTACATAAGCTCCCCCAACTTCGTTGAGGTGAGCTAAAAATTGTTTGGTTGCCCTCTCCCGACCAACTGGCTAAAAATAACCCAAGTCAAAACTTTGTTTTACCTCGGATTATATTGATCCAGGAAGCATTTTTTTTTTTATGCAATACAGAAAATAGATTTTGAAAATTCAGCATTGATTTTGAAATTTTCTTTGAAAAAAAAAATATTCTCTTTACCTACCAACTCAATTTTTTCATCCTGAGTCGGGAGAGGGCAAGCAAACATTATTTTAAAGTTGGCCTAATTTGACTTTCCCATCAATAGAAATCAATAATCGGTCTGTACATGCAGTCAGTTTTTATTTTAGTAAGCATTAAAAAAATTGCCACCAATATTTTTGAAAGCTTATTATGAAATAAATTGGGGGGGGGGGGGGGGGGGGGGGGAGGTTATCTCACACTATTTTATACACATCATGTGCCTATGAAATTGTTAAACAAAATAGTTTAAAATGTAAGCAAATTGTTTTAACAAGAGGCCCAGGGGCCACATCGCTCACCTGAGCACATTGGCTAAAAGCACAAATCAGTTCAGTATTGAAAAGATTACTGTAGATTCCTAAATATACGCGAGGAATTAATTATCGCGTAATTACGCGAGAAGCACCGCTCGCGAAATAAAATTACCGGTACTCGCTTTTATTTTTATGGGGCTTTAATGTATGTAAAATCTGTAGATAAATCACCCATTCGCGAATTATTATTCTCGCAATTTGACGCCCTTGGGCCATTTCGCGATAATAAGTACTCGCGTAAAATAAGGAATCTACAGTACTTTGGGGGGGGGGGGGGGGCTTGAATTTTAAACTACCTGATGATGCTTCCATGTCAATATAAGAAATGGCTTTGTTGTACTTGAGAAGATTTTAAAAAAAATTTCCCATATATTCCTTTGTAAAAATTTGATCTCCCATTGTGGCTCCTCCCTATCCCAGGGGTCATCATTTGAACAAACTTGAATCTACACTACCTGAGGATGCTTCCATATCAATATGACTAAACATAGCTTTTCTGTTTTTGAGAAGAAATATTTTTCCTATATGTTCTTATGTAAAATTTTTGATCCTGCATTGTGGCCCGACCTTATCCCCGGGGGTCATCATTTTAACAAACTTGAATCTACACTACCTGAGGATGCTTCCATATCAAAATGACTAATCATGGCTTTGCAGTTCTTCTTCAGAAGAAATTTTCCTATATATTTCTATTTAAGACTTTGATCCTCCATTGTGGCCCCATCCTACCCCCGGGGTCATGATTTGATCAAAATAGAATCTACACTACCTCAGGATGCTTCCATATAAATATGATCAATCAGGGCTTTGCTGTTTCAGAGAAGAAGATTTTTAAAGATTTTTCCTATATATTTCTATGTAAAACTTTGATAGTCCATTGTGGCCCCGCCCTACCCCCAGGGGTCATGATTTGGACAAACTTGAATCTACACTACCTGAGGATGCTTCCATCATGACTCATCATGGCTTTGCTGTTCTTGAGAAGAAGATCTTTAAAGATTTTTCCTATATATTTCTACGTAAAACTTTGATCCTCCATTGTGGCCCCGCCCTACCCCTGGGGGTAATGATTTGAACAAACTTGAATCTACACTACCTGAGGATGCTTCCATATAAATATGACTCATCATGGCTTTGCTGTTCCTGAAAAGATTTTTTTGAGGTTTTTCCTATATATATCTATGTAAAACTTTGATCCTCCATTGTGGCCCTGCCCTTCCCCCGGGGGTCATGATTGGAACAAACTTGAATTTACACTACCTGAGGATGCTTCCATATAAATATGACTCATCATGGCTTTGCTGTTCTTGAGAAGAAGATTTTGAAAGGTTTTTCCTATATATTTCTATGTAAAACTTTGATCCTCCATTGTGGCCCCGCCCTACCCCCAGGGGTCATGATTTGAACAAACTTGAATCTACACTACCTGAGGATGCTTCCATGTGAGTTTCATCTTTCCTGGCCCTCTGATTCTTGAGAAGAAGATTTTTAAAAGATGCTATTAATTTTTCACCAATTCTTTATTATCTCCCCTTGAAAGAGGGCATGGCCCTTCATTTGAACAAACTTGAATCCCCTTCACCCAAGGATACTTTGTGGCAAGTTTGGTTGAAATTGGCCCAGTAGTTCTGGAGAAGAAGATGAAATTGTGAAAAGTTTACAACGACAACGACGACACCGATGACAACGACAGACAACGGACAAATTTTGATCAGAAAAGCTCACTTGAGCCTTCGGCTCAGGTGAGCTAATAATTATAGACGTGTCAAAACATGTCACAGCTATGATTTGTTCCTTGCATTTGAGAAATCTTAAAATAACAAAAGATAATTGGTACACGGTATAAGATCAAGTCCAATTAATATTTTCACAAACAAAGCCCAGTTTATTAGTTGGTAATTTTTTACAAAATCGACACAGGCAATTACTGCCAAATAATTCTCGCAGTAGTGAAGCTCTTATAATTACTATACTTTCTACATGCATGGGAAATCAACTGTTTTTTTGTTGAGAAAAATTATCTTATTGACTGTCTCTGAGGAAAGACAGTTTCTCAATTTTGTGATGAGAATTCCATCTTGTTATTACTCTTTTATTACATTTATTTAATTATAATGATATTCAAATGTTGTTTCATTATTCGATTGTTGGTCCATTTGACTGATAGTCGAATAGTCGACTATTCGTTGACATCCCTACTTTAAAGCTATTTCATATATATATGAAATAGGTACATTTATTCTCTATTGTTTGAATCAAGTCTTGAAAAGTTACAAACACAACACAGGTAATTCCTCTGAACGTATTTTTACCATAATTTTGATATATACCATAATATTAGACATCCTGTATATACCACATTTTTAGATAAAATTACCATGTTTTCTGGAGTCATGGCATCCTTATTCTCCCCTCCAAATAGCTGAACCAGAAGAGACAGACATTTAGTGGAGAAATCCTGAATATCAGTATCCTCAAAACATAACTGTAACATATGACAATGAAATTAAATATCATAGTGTAGTCAAACTAATGGGTAAACTGAGTATTACAGCTGAAATAATTTTAACAATAAATTGTCTCAACTGATATGGCTTAGCTGTTTTGTATTGAGAACCCTTTTCACCAGTTGAGCAGGAACAGCAGTAAGATTTGAGACTTTTTGGTTAGTTTGGATGGAAAATCTAAAACTTTTACAAGTGGAGTGAGTATAGTGACTAGGTTTATTTATTGGACAGTTTGGATGTAGGATCTATAAACTACCAGTTAGGTAAGGATAGTGGTGAGGCCTGTCAGTGATTTATTGGTCAGTATGGGTGGGAGATCTATAACTTACCAGTTGAGTGAGGATAGTGGTGAGGTCTGTCAGTGATTTATTGGTCAGTGTGGGTGTAGGATCTATAACTTACCAGTTGAGTGAGGATAGTGGTAAGGCCTGTCAGTGATTTTTGGTCAGTATGAGTGGGAGATCTATAACTTACCAGTTAGGTAAGGATAGTGGTGAGGTCTGTCAGTGATTTATTGGTCAGTATGAGTGGGAGATCTATAACTTACCGGTTAGGTAAGGATAGTGGTGAGGTCTGTCAGTGAGTTATTGTCAATATGGGTGTGGGATCTGTAACTTACCAGTTGAGTGAGGATAGTGATGAGGTCTGTCAGTGATTTATTGGTCAGTATGTGTGTGGGATCTGTAACTTACCAGTTGAGTGAGGATAGTGATGAGGTCTGTCAGTGATTTATTGGTCAGTATGGGTGTGGGATCTATAACCTACCAGTTGAGTAAGGATAGTGGTGAGGTCTGTCAGTGATTTATTGGTCAATAGGGTGTGGGATCTGTAACTTACCAGTTGGGTAAGGATAGTGTTGAGGTCTGTCAGTGATTTATTGGTCAGTTTGGGTGTAGGATCTATAACTTACCAGTTGGGTAAGGATAGTGGTGAGGTCTGTCAGTGATTTATTGGTCAGTATGGGTGTGGGATCTATAACTTACCAGTTGGGTAAGGATAGTGGTGAGGTCTATCAGTGATTTATTGGTCAGTGTGGGTGTAGGATCTGTAACTTACCAGTTGGGTAAGGATAGTGGTGAGGTCTGTCAGTGATTTATTGGTCAGTATGAGTGGGAGATCTATAACTTACCAGTTGGGTGAGGATAGTGGTGAGGTCTGTCAGTGATTTATTGGTCAGTATGAGTGGGAGATCTATAACTTACCAGTTGGGTAAGGATAGTGGTGAGGTCTGTCAGTGATTTATTGGTCAGTATGAGTGGGAGATCTATAACTTACCAGTTGGGTGAGGATAGTGGTGAGGTCTGTCAGTGATTTATTGGTCAGTATGAGTGGGAGATCTATAACTTACCAGTTGGGTGAGGATAGTGGTGAGGTCTGTCAGTGATTTTTTGGTCAGTATGGGTGGGAGATCTATAACTTACCAGTTGGGTAAGGATAGTGGTGAGGTCTGTCAGTGATTTATTGGTCAGTGTGGGTGGGAGATCTATAACTTACCAGTTGAGTGAGGATAGTGGTTAGGTCTGTCAGTGATTTGTTGGTCAGAATGAGTGTGAGATCTATAACTTACCAGTTGGGTGAGGATAGTGGTGAGGTCTGTCAGTGATTTATTGGTCAATAAGAGCTGCTCTGCTTCCTCCGCTTCACGATTTCCACCCTCCCCTCCAGCTCTCTTGTTCTTTTATTGAAACACAGTATAAAAACATATCAAGGGTCTGAAAACTTCTTAAATTTTTTAAGTGCACTTATTGTGGTCTCATTCAAAAACTAGGAAATAAATTGATCTAAAAATTAATCACTACTTCATATTACTAGCAAAATGAAGTACACACTATTTTCACAAACAACTTTGTCAACTTACTGATGTTTCATCTGCCCGAGACTAAATATGACCAGAACAAAATTTACTAGTTGTAATATGAAAGATTTCGTTAGAAGTACATGTACTTCAGCATATGGTTATGAAAATCAAGTTTTTTTGAATTTGATATTGAAATATAGTGTTATAAACACAAATCTAGTACTTTTCTGAACCTGTATTAGAAATTAAAAATTTCAATTTAATTTACTTGTCTTTTTCGTTCAGTCTTGAGATTTGAAAATATAAATATTTAATTTTTATTCTATTAATTTCCTACCTGCAGTGCTTTCCTGACAACCTCGGAGACATACTTGAACATACTGTGTAGCGTGTCTAGTAAGTTCTGTAACATAGACAGAGCCACCTTGTTGTCTGTGTGTTCGTCTGTGTCCAGACAGGCCGTGGTGACATCAAAAAACAAGGTTGTGAAGTAGTCTATCAATCCTGTGAGGTATAGTTAAACTTTTAGCATGTATGCACTGTGTTAAGTTCAAACATCACATACACTATATAATAAATATTAACAGTTAAGTGAGTTAACACATATAAATTTTAAGAATGTACTCAATAAAGAGCTCAAAGAAATCATTAAATACAATTGCACCTTTGTTAATCTTAGCAGCTTTTTTTACTGATCGAGATTATCTGGATAAATATCCATTTTGAAGTTTTTTTATGTTACTAAGATTATTTAATTCTAATTCTAAAAAAATAAGTTTAATGTCAAAAAATTTAAAAAAAGCAGGAATACATGTATTCCATTTCTAAATAATTTATATACATATGCATGTGTATGTAAAATAAACTAAAATATACAAACAGAATAAATGCGAACAATTTTTACTTTTGCAATAAGTACACTTAGCCAGTTTATAGTGTTTTTTTTTTATATCTACCTTATAAATATTCTTACCTTGTTCATACAGATCCTTCATATTTGTGTCTTTATGAGCCACCAGGCAGTTGAGGATTCCAGCTATACTTTGCATGGAGCTGTTCAGGGGATTGCTTTGGTGATCCTTTTAAATTACCATAAATACATTTAAAAAATGCATTCATATTTAAACCATCTCCATGGATACAAAGGGCATCTGCATTAATGAACTCACTGTATATTCAAGACAATGTTATTAATTACAATATAATGAATGTGTCAGTACATGTACATATATGTATAGAATGTACTTAAGACAGAACACGAATCCTGAAGTTAACTGCTCTCAAAAAAATTTATGAATTCAAGAAATGGTGAATAATATATGCTTAAAATTTATCACAGAGACATTGAAGACATAGTAAATATTTGTGTGAAACACTAGTTACCGGTTCTATATGCCAAAGTAAATATAAATGAAATCAAAGACTGACAAAATAAAACTATTGTCAGTATATAATCAAATACATCTCTGCCTTTGCCCTACCATCATGACTTGGAATATGACTGACACCAGCCCTAGCTGTTCAAACTGTTTGATGAATCCTCCATTCTGATCAAGGAGGGTCAGTAGAAGCTTCAACCCACAGCTGGGAAGGGGCTCCTGATCCAGGAGAATCTGCTCAAACCTGTAACAGAAAATTCATTTTATAAAATAACAGGTATAATGCAAGGGGATCTAAAAGGTGTCAATTGAAATAGGAGTTTGAAAATCACTGGAAAAACATTCAAATGAAATCCAAGCAATAAACTATCAATTCTACATTAGAAGCTGGGAGGGGTCTTCATCAGTTTCAAAAAAATGTCAATAAAAGATTCTTAAAACAAACAAAATAATAATAATAAAATGCTGTTTATTTCAGTTCTGAATTGCAATATTAACAAAAGTAATTTTTTTCTGTCTATTTACTGTGGAAGTAATCTTTCTGTGATGATCTTATGAAGTCCTGCTACATTCATTATTTTCTCTCCCCCGGCATACTGTTCTTGATTCAGATACACCGAGGCAATGTCAGAGAACAGCCTTAAAGACAAAGCTCTGGTCTCCCCTGCAAGTACAAGTACAAAATTTGCTCATAAAAATATGTTCACACCAATCAATTGAAGAATATACAGCACAAAAATAATTTCTGGAGTTGTAAAATTTCTGTGGTTAAATCAAAATTAAAAAAAAAAAAACCTCCTATGCTCATTTGGCAATGGCTTAACATTGATTAAAATACTTTTGATCTCTTGTGATCCAGACATGTCCACATGACTTTGGCTCAGGTTCAAGACAACACATGTGTCATAAACAACTTTTTGTAGAGTACGAGTTTTTGAAATCTCTGCAAGCTTTGCAATCCCGTCATTGTACAAATTAAGACCTTGTAAAAATGGCTTTGGTTGTAAGTCATGTTTATTCTTTTATCTATGGGCTTTTAAAACTCCATATTACAAAGTTATGCCATTAAAAGAGTTTTGCACCTAAAATCTCTGTGACCTTGGACTTGCCCAATGACCTTTGGTGAGGGTCTTGGTACATCCTCAGGTCCGAGGCTTTTTATGCACATATAAATGTTTGCAATCTCTGCATACTCTAGCTAAGACAAGAATTTACTATACTTTTTGATCTTGTGACCAAGACCAAATGACACATTTTCATATCATAAATAATCTTTATGCCAAGAATGAATTTCACACAACTTACTCCATTGAAACGATTTGGGCAAACTCAAAGTTGGATGGACAGAAAAAAGAACATGGTGACTTCATATTGTGATGATAAGATATCTTTTATAACAAATCAAAAATTTTTCATCCCTGGCACTTCACCATAACCATGTTTTACTACATCATGTACATGTATGATATATTATGCTTTTTGATTTAATTGTTTACAGTATATTTCCACATAGGGATAAAGTTATTCAAAGTATCTTTTGCAAATGAAATGGAGCAAAAAAAAATGAGAGAACAGTTCAGATTCATTGTAAGTGGAATCTTACCATTCTGACTGACCACTAAGTCAGCAATGATAGGAAGAACACCCTCTAAGATGACCTGATGGAAATCGGCAACCATCTGAGGATGCTGGGATATGCCTTCCAGGACTGACATGGTTGTCGTCACAAATTCAGAAGGTGTGATGGATCCTGAAACAAACAAGATATAAAGTAATTTATTTCATATTAAAATAAGCCAGTTTAATCTGTGTATTTACCAATACATGTATACAAATGCGTAATTAATTTCATATAAATTTTTAAGAATGTAAAACTTGGTCAGAATGGTTAGAAATTACATGATTGTGAATATTAGAGTAAGTTTACCAGCAAAATTTTAAACTTCCATCAATATACATGTACAGTGCTACCTCGGTATATTGCCCTCCGTTATATTGCCACCCTCGCTTATTGCCAAGAATTCTCGAAGAACGGATTTCACCCTGTGTTAATACACCCGTTATATTGCCACCCCCGCTTATTGCCATCCGCCACTGGTTTTGGGAAACAAAAGGTCAAATTATGTAAGGAAAACCCTCGGTAACAATGCCAATTATCTAGCGCGTGTCGGTAATTTGGACACCACACCCGTGCTTTGACAGTGGTTGCAGTGAAGCGTGACTGCCTGGACAAGGAATTCAGCTAAATTAAAAATAATCGTTGTATTAAACTCAAAATAATTAGCAATGTCTTTGGCGTGTGTTTTTAAGATAGAAGAATTATTTCATCACAGAAATGAAACGTCAGGCGAGAGAAAGCGTACAAATTTAGATTACAAAAAAAAAAGATTGATCAACAATCGATCTATTTGATTGTAAATGGCCGATTATTGCTTATATTGGATAATGCACAAAACCATAATAAATGCAAAAATTCATTTGTGTCCCCTTAGATTAAGAAGCCATTCTATCGATCAAAAAGGAAACCCCATATCAATTTTTAGGCTACCATAATTTCGCACGTGAAAATATTAAGGATTCCGTTAGCCCTGACATTTTCTTTAATTGTCGGGCATTGTTTGATTGATAAATATCAAAACAGAATCGGAAGAGTACACAGGTACTAGCAAACATGAAAATGCTTAATATAACAGGTTGACGTATTCTGACATGTGACTTACCATTCGTCAGTCATGATGCTTTACCAACCGAACTTTTTAACTGATTCAGAAATTTTTGAGACAGTGAAATAATCTACTTTCGATTCAGATGAAATTAATGATAATTCTCAAAAACTTTTTTATACCAAGAGGCTATATAACGGCCACCGACATTTTTGGCATCAATTCTTAGAGCATGACGAAAGGAAATTGATGCGTTCAATATTCTGATATTCTATTTCTTTTTAGTCAAAATATTGTAAAAAAAAAAATAATAATAATAAATAAATAAATAAAAAAAATGATAATAGTGACTTTTTTTCAACTGCCCTTATACACATGTGACATAAATAGATTGTAACTGAAATAAATTACGTAATCTATTTATTTTGTTTTGATAACCCACTGAATTTTAATTTATAGCAGAATTCGTTATATTGCCACCCTCGCTTTAATGCCAAAATCTGTCTTGGACAAAAGTTGGCAATATACCGAGGTACCACTGTATTTGAAATTTAATGTAAAACTCTTTCAGAAAAGAGGATATTTGTACATTTACAAAAGCTGAGTAGGAATCCTTAAGAAGTTGGGTTTTTTTTTAATATTTAAGTCAAGACTTAGCTTGAAAGCATAAAGACCAACAAAATTTAGTTTAAAAAATGCAATATTTACATAAAGATGAATCTATTTCATTGAAATGATTGGTTGTTCTGACAGATAAGGTTCATTATCTTGATACAAAATGTATCTACAATACAATATAATTGTAGATTTTTATATATCTATGGACCGCTGATGAAGGAATGCAATACAGGCTTGTTTGCATTTGGAGTGAAGAGAAGCAGCAAGCAGAAATGGGAGTCATACTTATAAGCACACTAAGAATATGCATACCTTTTGGCCTGTCTGCTTTAAATAGATTATTCAACAATGAGTTAATAATAAGCTCATTGTAACTTCTATCTTTTTTAAGCCACAGTACAAAATATTTCAAAAATAATAATGCATTAGTGTATTGGGGAAATTCTGAGTTAATAAAATCAAGTTTATAATGATTAATTGTTCATTATTTATGAAAAAAAAATATTTTTAAACTTGATGAGCTTTCATTACAATTTTTAAAAGATGACTCCTGGTATATGTATACATTTCCTTACCACTAGCTCCTTCTATATTTGTCTCCCCTGCCTCAATACTCCTGATATGAGAAAGCAAAGAGGATAGGTTTTTGATGAATTCCTCATTTACAATCTTTGGTCTGAATATCTGTGTAAAAACATTATGGTTGGGAAATTAACATATTGCTGAGCTGGTTGCCACTTGAACACTAACCTATGCTCTCTAATCTCTATCATGCATTCCATATACAAATGTTCTTACTTTATATTGTGCAAAACTTTTACAAATCAAAACTATACAATTTTTCAGAGTCAAATAAATAAATATTAATATATACATGTACACTGTACCTGACTTGTGACGAGGTGCAGAAACACATGTATGAGGGGAAGAGATGATCGCAGCTGTTTGGCCTGAACAGCATTCGGATGTTTCCTCCCCATCACAGCATCTAATGAGGACACAATCTCTTCTGTAAACAAAACATACAATAAGTACATGCACATATAACATTCTCATTTTTCCCTACTGTTATCTCAACAATATCTTCTAATTATTTTTTTTTCAACTTGTTTATGATATTTTCAACATTTCACAACAACCGGGAAATACTGGTTATATATTCATTTCTTTTTAAAATGAATTTATTATATATAAATGAAAGTATGAGAATATTCACACAAAGGAGAGACAACTCTTTTACAATTCTGTTTGCAAATGACACATCACTACTAAATGACTGTTTCTTGTCCTTACTGAAGATCTTGGGAACAACATCTACAATGTGATTGATGAGAAGATCTAGACATTGCATCAGATATTCACTGCAATCTGAGCCATTGTTCTCCACTTTACCGTCCCTTGGGGTCTGGCGACGACTGTCTCGCTCTATATACATCACCAACCTCAATAAATGAAATATATGTGGTTGAAAGGAATTATTGCAGATAATGGAAAATAATGATGGGTGAAGAAAAATTATGGGAGTAAACGAGCGAAAGAAAGCTATGAATTTGATTTTGGTAGCTTATCATACATGTCATAAAGGAACTCTACAGAAATACAGTACACAGGCATTTTGTAAAATGCTACTTGTGCAGTACAAAAATAGTACTCATACAAACTGTATTGTAAATAAGTTTTCTTGGCACCTTAGTTGACAACTGTTGAGCAGAAGATCATAATTATTCTTGACAACTTCATGGATGACAACAAAAGCCTTCGCTCTGATAACAACAGACGGGGAGTCAAGTAACTTGATAAGCTTCTGAAGAAAGTCCTGGAAAAGCAAAATTAAAAAAAACAAAATAAAAAAGTTGAAAGATACATAAAAATCAATTTGAAATTAATTTAATTCAATTATATCAAATAAAATGGAAAATTTAAGGGCAAATAACAAATAAATAATAATTTTCAAATGATAATTTATAAATTGCCATTTAAAATTCTATCCATTTGATTTCCAAATTTGACAATAATCTAGGAAGTGGTTCAATGAATAAGATGCACTTTAACACAAATCTAAAATCTTACACTATCACTCACCTTATCTTGAACAATCCTATTGAGGTACTGTCCAGAGGCAATCAAAGCTCCAAACATAGTGACAATAGCCTGCTGGATCCTGGTGATACCGAACGACAGGGCTGACAAAATGGTTGTCATGCCAACTGTATCGATGACACTCTGGAAAACCTGGGGGTTGTGGTGAGTGATTCTACACAGGGCCTGAAATTCAAAGGCAAGTTATTGTTTTTCTTTTACAGAAAATTGATAGAAAATTAGATCCAGCTTTTAATGAATAAATGAAATAAAAGGCTGAACTTCATTTGATAGCGTTTATTTGTAACGATAAAAAAGTGTTTCAAAAACTTATATGAAAATTTAAGACATCTAAAACCAACTACATGTATTGCTACACTCAGCATACAAAACTTACATTAAGTGCTGTAATTCGCAGTGAATCCACTGTGGAATGCTTAAAAATGTACCACAAAGACTGTCCCATCTCATTGCTGACAAATTTCTGAAAATAAAAAGTATTCTTGTATATTTATTTATCTGTTAAAGCTTAAGCATGTACAAAAATATCTTTAAAAAATATCTAAAAATAACTGAGAATGTACACCTGTATTTTTATTTTTGTCACAGATTAGATCCTTACCTGAGCATGATTCCCCAGTGTAGCTACAACATTCTCTACAGTTTTTGCTGCTATGTGATTCACAACAGCATCCTCCTGTAATCACCAAAAAATACATCATTCTCTTAGTAAACTTCAAAAAAGTGTGCTTATCTCATATACTAGTACATGTTTACATGTAGATATTAAGTTCCTGTGACCCATTTTACAAAATAATTTACTACTAAGGCCAAAAGGGTGATTGTAAAATCTTACAGAATTAATGATTCTGTTAGAAATTGCCTGCATAAATATACCCTTCTAAATTCTTTTTAAAAAGATTAAAACCATTTTCATATCAATGTAAAAAAAAAAGTTATTTTCAAAATTACATTTTGGTCTTAGACATTAAGTTCTTTGTAAAGATGTGCTTTAAAATGAACAGTTCTTTAAAACACTGCAAGCATTTCTTTTTTCAAAATGAATCAATGATCTTGTATACTGAAAGTATACATGCCTGCATTCAATTGCTATAGATCGTAACAATTGAAACGTAAAAGATTTTCACAAAATTTGATAATAAATACCCCCTCTCTACAGCATCGGATGATCACTGTGTAGGTCATGGATGATACACTCCAGTTGTCACAATTCTTTCCATGCTTGACTTCCTGCAATATTCATTCTATTTATAAGAGTATAATAAATCAGAGCTAGATATTGCTACAAAGGTGAATGAACATAAGGCTAGCCCCAAGTAGGAATAACAAGCATCAATTCATACAGTGTGTTCAATACACCTAGATATCTAGCCTAGCAGTCAGACTAGCTGTTAAGATCTTGAACACAGCCCCCTTCGATTTTGTTTATGTAGCAGACACAATATTTTGAGTCTGTTTGAGATTCAGTAGCTTCAGACTAGGTTCAAAGTGGGATGAATGCACAGATGTACAGACAGACATTGAGAGAGACATGGGTAAACTCAGTATCTCCCTCCAAATTTCACTCGTTTGATGGAGGTGATATACTAAACATGGATAAACTTTATTAGTGTTGATGTAGTCTTGTAATGACAATGTTGTACACCAGGCATATTAAAGTGAAGGATTTCCCTACAACTGGCTTGAATATCCTACTTCTTAATCAGTCAAATATCATGACCCACTGTTTGGCCATGAAATATGGGAGGTCTATTACAGTAGTTGGAACCCTCAGCTTCTTACCTGTTGTGCTATGAAGTACAGAAGTTCCCCTACAGCAGGCAGAACCCCCTGTTTTAGTTTCCCATTCTTTACATTCTCTCTGATGACTTCTGTCAGAATAGCAATGGATTCCGAGACATTCACACTCTCATCCAGATCTTCTGCATTTCCAGCAATCAAGCCAATTACACGGGCTGCCTTGGTCTTCCTGGATTCAAAATGATGTAACTTTTATATGAACTTTTGCACAGGTTAAACCAAATAGCTTAACAAGCCTCAAACTGATTCAAGAATTAAATGAAATGCTAGAATACTTGTCAATATTAAAACACATCTTGTGTTTAGACAGTATTTTTTTTAAAAGTTGCATATTAGTTACCATCACAGATAAAAATGAATTTAAAAATTAAGATTCAAATTCCTTTTCAAATTAGTCAATCTACTCACACATCTAGATGTTGAGTTTCTTTAACAACTTTGGCAAGCACTGACAGGATGTGATTCTTTGTGAGTTGTGTAGCCACCTGAGGATTGGTAGAGATTCCTGTCAGATAGTGAAGAAGGTGGATCCTTTTCTGGGAGGGAGGGCCCTTCTCACTGATTGACAGCCCATCACAAATGGCCTTGATATGCTTGGAGAGCTCTTTCTCTGACATGGTCACCATTTTTTCAGCTAAAATTTTCAGTTAAAAATGTAATTCAAAATAAGCCATGAAAAAATGTTATATAAAATACATGTATGTATTAGTTGGATGACTTCATGAACAAGCTTGTACACAAGAAATGGCATTTTAATAATATAGTACATCATCTTATTTTAAATACAATAAAATACAGTTACAGTGAACAAGCTCATTGTTCACTCTTGATTTTCAATCCCTTAACTTTAAAAAATATTATGAACTTATAGGAATTATAATGAATTACGTTTATAATGAATCAAAATTGTTTGTCCCTGGCATTTTACTATAAGCTTATATTTTACTTCAAGCATGTTTTAATGAATATTGTTTATTTTACATGGCAGCTAGTTAAAATAGGATATATTGCAAAACTCATGCAAAAACATTTATGTGTATACTCTGAATGTTTACCTGGGAATGGTGGAACAGGCAGAATTTTGGAATCAAACTTTGCTGTCCCTGGTTTCTGAATCTGGAATCAAAATGAGGAAAACTGACATTGTTAGATATATTATAAGCTGGAAATACTTCTTAATTTCTTTCTGTATTTTGAAAAGCTTAGGTTTTCACAAAGTAGTAAAAAATGTGTAAATATATCTAAGAATTAATATTAATACAATTTATAAACAAAAATTCATGCATCTACTTGAATACATGCACTAACAACAGAACTCCCCCCCCCCCAAAAAAAAACATTATTATAAGACATCCTTGTAAACATTTCCAAAAATAGAGAACATTTTCAATCATTGCATGTGTATATTTTATTGTGTTTGATCTCTCTTTTCCAATATTTGTTTTTCAATTTTAACTCTCCTTAACCCAGGTTTATTTTTCATCTAAAAACATGCAATTTTCACAAACACAGCTTTTCTTGTTATTTCTCTTCCTTCCTTCCAAAAACATGTGAAATTAATGTTTGAACAAAAAAAAAAATTCCTCTGAACTTGGTGCAAACTTTGAAAAATTAGAGAGTAAAGTGAAAGTATAAAATAGACCAACAAATAAAAAAAAAATACCACCTTAACTTGATGATGTGCATGCATAAGAATCTAAAATGTAGATAGGCAATCCCTCAACAATGTCAATATTTTTGAAAACTTTAACAGCATATGAATGATAAATCTCTAATTCTGAACATCTGTATAATGATGATGACTTGACAGAGGAAAATATCTGTGACTAAAAGTGGGTATTTTTATTTATTTATTTCATAATAAATCCACAAGCTTGGAGATGTATACTTGTCCTATTGTATTTCGAATCCCCCTCCCTCCCTCCAAAAAATATATTTTCTCATTAGTAAAGTAGACAAACCTTTGTGTTGTCCACAATAGGTGTAACGTGAAAGTCACTATGATGGTAGATGAGTTCCAGTGCCACGTTTTTAGTCTCCTCACTGTGATATTCTCCAGCAGTAGTCCCGATTGTTTCCCGGACTTCTCTGGTAGATAATGGGGACTGGGTGGGTTTCTGAGTGGGGGCCAATTTCTCATCAGGAGGAACAGCAGTAGGTGGCCGAGTACTGATAAACATAGAAATATACTGTATTAGCAGTCATTACTAAATAATTTCATGTGTATAATTTTGATTACAAAAAGTGTGTAATATAATTACTGCTGCTACATGGACTACAATTATACATACACATATAATGGCATGTATAAAATCACGTATAAAATATGTTTTTAATATACAGTAGATTTTCTTTCTTATGCAAAATTTACAGGCTGTTTGTTTAGAATTAATGTAAATGTACTGTATTACACACAAGTATCTAAAACAAACTTCAATGAATAATACATGTACTAACCTTAAGGTAAACAAAGAGCCTCCTTCATTACCAGGGGCTGTTTTGGGTCTCATGTAATCCCCCAAGGTTGATCCTACATACAAAGAAAACTTAATTGTTTCAAAATATTTCTACATTAAATTTCCTCTAACTATCATATTTCATTCTTCTCATTGAAAAAAAAATAAATTATCCAGGCACAGTGATAAACTGGTGACCTGGTCTGGTCCCCTCTGTTTCCAATGTTGACACAGGGCGGTCCATGCTCTTCTTGAGATCCACAGTTTTGATTCTGCCCAGGGCTGAGGCTGTCCCCTCTACCAGCACACTGCTCCTGCCCGTGTTAACAATGCTACCCCTCACCTCCTGTGAAGTCACAAGGTCTTTAGCTAAATGACTCAGTCGTCCTTGCCAAAATGGATGATTTACCAAACCTGGCCAACCCATTCTGAAAGATAATAAAAATCTTACATGTTATGACTGTAAGGAACATGGGAGGTATAAATACACTGAACTGAAGTTTCTGTAAGTGACATTTTTGGTTTGAACATATTTTATTGTAATTAATAAATACAATGGGATTAGGCACAAGTTCTGAAAACTTATTACGCCCTCTCCCTACATGTAAATTACACATTTAAATCGTCACAGTTAAACATGAAGTTTTAAAGTATACAATATTTGCAAAAGTTTACAAAACGATGCATTTTGCTGATATATAGATACACTTAATTTTGTACCAATGCATATACTGATACATTAATTAATGCTAACAAGGAAATCTACCAAAATGTTTAATAAATGATTGAACAAAAGAAAAGAGACGTTCATTTTCTGCAGCATTCAATGAATCTACCCCCCATAATAAGACATGAGTATCTAGAATGTGGATCTTGTCAAATTGTAAAAATTTATTTAAAAATTCTTTTCTGGCTTTCTCATACTTTGGACATACAAAAAAATAATGATATGTATCCTCAACTTTACCACAGGAGCATAAAGGACTTGATATTAAATTGCATCTATAAAGATCGCTATTCAATACGCAATTATGCCGTAGTCTGGTTTGCAGAACATTTAGTCGTCTGTTACCGTAATCAAAGTATGATGGTGGAGCAGATTTTTTAGTACTAATTTTAGATTTGAATTTTGACATTGACTGTAAATTTCGAATTTCGAGTGGAATTGAGTTCCATTCATTAACTACTGTCGGAATAAATGTAGACTTATAAGTTTGTAATCGACATTTTGGAATATCATAATTTTGAGAATTTCTTGTAGAGTATATAGATGTGTTACAGCGCATATCTGGAAGTATGTCCATTAAGTATTCAGGCACTAAATTATTATGAAGCTTGAACATAGTTTTTATTCTAGCTTCTTGTCTTCTACAACTTAGAGGTTCCCATCCCGTTTCAAAGTAAAGTGAATCTTTAGAAGCTATAGTTGTTAACCCTGTTACAATTCTAGCAGCATAAAGTTGCAGTTTTTCTAACTTATCGTTATCACTATATTGACAGCATCCCCATACCACTGAAGCGTATTCAAGTTGCGGTCTTATAAATGACGTATACATGAGTGAGAGAGTTTTTCGATTTACTTTAAATTTTAATTTTTTCAAAAGAGATGATTTTTTGTAGGCATTAGACAGTAGATTTTCAATATGCAGTGACCAACTAGCGTCGTGTGAAAAAAATACTCTGAGGTGTTTGTGTTCAGAGATGAAGTCCAATTGACATTGTTGAAAAAGAAGCTTAGGATATTCTATGTTTTTCTTTGTACTAAACATTATTGCTTTAGTTTTAGAGGGATTAAATTTCAATAACCATTTTTTAGACCAAAGTTCCAGAGCATTTAGATCTTTGTTTAAGTCTCTTTCAATAATTTTCATATTATGAGAAGAATGCTGCAAAGAATTGTCATCAGCAAATAATCTACAAAAAGTAACCATATTATCAGCAACATCATTCACATAAATTAAAAACAAAAGTGGTCCTAAAACGGAGCCCTGAGGAACACCAGCAAATAAGGGTTTGGGTGTTGATAACAAGTTACGATACATCACCCGTCGATATCTACATTCAAGATAATTCTCTAGCCATTTGTACAAACTACCAGAAATTCCATATGTTTTAAGTTTAAATAAAATACCTTTGTGCCAAACACGATCAAACGCTTTTGAAAGATCACAAAATACCATACAACAAAATTTTCCATCATCAATAGCTTTTACAATATTGTCATATGTTTCTATTAACTGGTACACTGTTGAGTGACCAGGTAAAAAACCAGCCTGATATTTATAAAAAAGATTATTGTCATGAAAATAATTATAAATATATTTAAACACAACTCTTTCCATGATTTTTCCAACACAGCTCAACAATGAAACTGGTCTATAGTTAGACATTACAGAAGGATCTTCTTTTTTAAAAAGAGGAAGTACATTTGCTAATTTCCAACCGGAGGGAAAAATACATTCATTCAGAGATCTATTAAACAATAAACAAAGTGGTTTAACAATAGTAAACTTTGCTGATTTTAACATCTTGTGGCTTATATTATCAGGACCAATAGCTTTGTTTGTAGGAAGTATTGTTACAATATCAATTATTTCTTGCTCAGTAATACATATACTACTAATTTCACTGTTACATACATGATATACCTCAGGTAATTCTGAACCACTATCATCAACACATGATACAGATGTGAAATAATTATTGAGTACATCTATTTTCTCTTCATTTGAATAAACAATATTTGTACAACCAGTATCTGTTATATATTGTAATGGTGGAATATCAGAGGTAACTTTAGTTTTAAAAACATCCTTCAATAATTTCCAGTATAGTTTCGAGTTGTTTTTGCTAGCGTCAGTAAGATGTAATTCTAGATTATTCTTGTAATTTTCAATTGCATGTTTTTTCATATTATTAAACTTATTTCTCACTTGTTTAAAATTTGTCCAATCAGAGTCTTTTTTGCTTTTTTGGGCTTTTTGTTTAATGACATTTTTGACTTGGAAGTAGTCAATCATGATATACTAATATAGTTTATTTTTGTCATTTCATAACATTGACCCATCCTTTAAAACATTTAACCTCTAGATCTACCTTTTATCAGGATCCTTTTGCAGAAGTCCCTCTAACAGATTCTGGAAATCTGGAGATGGCTTGGATGAAAACCTACTACCTGCAAACAGAATACATATTGTAACCATAAACAGAATACATATGTATATGCTGATAACTGTGAAAGGAACTCATTCTGTGCTACATATATACAGTAAACTGTATCCATTAATAAATACATGTAGCATGAACCTGGAAATCTTTTCATCATTATAGAGATATCAGTGTCAATTACTTTAAAATTGCTTTGGAAGTGTACATACATGTATAAGAAAAAAATAGAGAAAAACTGAGAGTTACCCTTCACTTTAGGTGGGGGTAAATCTTTATGTAGAATTTTTTCTTTTAGCTGTTGAAAAGACTCAGCTAAAAATGGAGGATGTCCTGTGGAAAATACAAAAATAAGAAATGTTGTTCAATCATACATACGTGTATACAATGAATTTCTGTTATAGTTTCTCATATTCAAATATGAACTCACCTGTAAACAATTCATACAATACACACCCCAGGGACCACAGATCACTGAGAATTGTGATTTCATGTGATTGAAGGCCTTCTGGTGCCATATAAGTGGGAGCGCCTGAAAAAAAGTTAAACAAAATAGTCACTGTAATCGCACAATGTGTACTATATTCTTTTTCTGAAATCAAAGTCCCTATCAGTTAGATCTCAGTATTAGTATTTTCCCCCTTCATATATATGCTCATATTCTTATTACAGATACTGATATAAAACTAGAGGTCTACACAGCAACAGCACACCAACTTATTTTTAATCCGCCACAGAAAATTACAATTTCTTTTAAACTTCAAGTCATATTTTTAAAAAACCCATATAAATCAAGCATGTTAAAATAAAACCTATGCAAAAGGAAAGGACTTTAAATGAAAAAAAAAGATACATAATTTACATTAAAGAACATAACTAAAACAATGCTCCAGTCATTAAACTACAGGCATTAAGTAATGTTCCATTTTAGTAGATGGTAACATTTTGAATAAATGTTGGTATTAGAATAAATTTTGCAAATACATGTATACCTGATACCTGTGGTCAGAAAGACTTACACTAACTGTAGTTTTATACAATTTTCAGAGTGTTTATTTAGAAAGACCACTAATACCAACCTAATGTCTATATTTTGCTGTTCTTTGACAGTGGGATTTATTAGACAGATGTACACTATCTGTGGTTTTCTTAATCTTTTGTACTTTCTGTAGTTTTTGCATGTTCTTGATAAAGGACTCTAAATAAAAAGTCTACACTGGGTTCTGTGTTTTACCTGTAAATTTGTATTTCTTTGACAGTAGATTCTGAACACTAACTGTAGTTTTGTATTTCTTTGACAGTGGATTCTGAACACTACCTGTAGTTTTGTATTTCTTTGACAGTGGATTCTGTACACTACCTGTAGTTTTGTATTTCTTTGAAAGTAGATTCTGAACACTATCTGTAGTTTTGTATTTCTTTGACAGTGGGTTCTGAACACTGCCTGTATTTGTTTGACAGTGAATTCTGAACACTACCTGTAGAACACTACCTGTAGTTTTGTATTTCTTTGACAGTGGATTCTGAACACTATCTGTAGTTTTGTATTTCTTTGACAGTGGGTTCTGAACACTGCCTGTATTTGTTTGACAGTGAATTCTGAACACTACCTTTAGTTTTGTATTTCTTTTACAGTGGGTTCTGAACACTACCTGTAGTTTTGTATTTCTTTGACAGTGGATTCTGTACACTACCTGTAGTTTTGTATTTCTTTGAAAGTAGATTCTGAACACTATCTGTAGTTTTGTATTTCTTTGACAGTGGGTTCTGAACACTGCCTGTATTTCTTTGACAGTGGGTTCTGAACACTACCTGTAGAACACTACCTGTAGTTTTGTATTTCTTTGACAGTGGATTCTGAACACTATCTGTAGTTTTGTATTTCTTTGACAGTGGGTTCTGAACACTGCCTGTATTTGTTTGACAGTGAATTCTGAACACTACCTTTAGTTTTGTATTTCTTTTACAGTGGGTTCTGAACACTACCTGTAGTTTTGTATTTCTTTGACAGTGGATTCTCCTCTACATCAGCTTCAGTACTCCACATCTCTCCTGCATCTGCAAACTTTTCAAACAGCTCCTCTAAAATCTCCCCCTCTACTCTGGACAGACCAAAGTCAGCATATTTCAGGGTCCCAGAACCATCCAGTAAAATCTGTCAAATAAGGAATCACCCATCAGTTGAGTTTTAATTTACATATCTAACATTCAATATTTTTATTAGAAACTTTGCTCTCTATAAATCTTTATACTCTGATAAAATTTTTTTGAATCTTTCCATATCAAAACAGGAGAATGTCCAATCTTTAGACCAGTTGTTTCCTACAGCTTTTACTTTACATATTCTGTAAATGTTTTACAATAAGGACTCTCATCTAATCATCTATTCAAAGATATCCAACAGTAGTTATTGACAGACATGAGAAATTCAGGCAACACAATTGTTTTTATACCTTTGTGGGTCGGAGGTCACAGAAGAGAATTCCTAAGGAGTGTATGTAATGGATTCCCGTGACCAGATCAATGCCAAAGCTTCTGATAGAGCTCTCAGGGAGATTCCTGTCCTGTGTGATCAGGGTGGCCAGACTTCCACCAGTACACAATTCTACCACTAGCCACAAGTGGTTACTGGTTTCATACCATTCATAAAACTTTACCACATTGGGGTGGCTAATGTCATGAGTCATTCTAACCTATAGAAGAAATTTTCATTTACATTTAAATTCTATAAATCACTGGTAATTACTAGACTTGTATATTTCAACTATTCAAATTACTTTCAATTGGTGAATGCAGAAAATGATTTTTTTTTTCAATTTTCTATAAATTTATTTTATGAATATGCAAATGATGACTTTACTTATGTTCAGAGTATATAAATCATTTTTACTATCGGTGAACATTTCTTTCAGAGGCTTTTAATGTAACTTGATTGTGTCACAAATTAAAGACACTGCCAAAATTGTTATCAAACCACTAGCTTTTTGTTTAAAAATTTTTATTTACTGATTATTTAATAAAATCATACCGTATTGGTAACCTCTGGGCGTTTGCATTTCTCTATGCAGTGGATGGCCACAAAATTTATGGTCCCCTTTCTTCTACCTTTATAAATGATGGAGTGGTCTCCCCTTCCTAATTCCTCATACAACACAAAGTTCTCCATTGTAACCACTGGTTATTCTTATGCAATGTCCCACCTGCAGTAATAACACATTTACTATTAAACCTATGTTAGAAGCAAACAGATTTACTTTTTTAAAAATATTTCTTTTTTAAGGTCAGATGACATATTCCTTAATAAAATATATTTTTTCTAAGAATATGTCATTAAAGTATTCCTATTTTAACAAGTTTCTTCACAAAAAATTAAGGTAGTACCTTATGAGGCATTTGTGCAAGATAGCAGAGAATGCTATTTAATATATAATTCTATTGGAAACTATATCATCCTATTGGAAATCACTAGAATTGCCAATATCACAATTTTTTGGTGCTTTTATCAACTAAGACATTTTGAAACAGTTTAAAAATCACAAGACAATGTTGATTATGATTAGTTTATTGTATATTACGAAGAGATACAAAACAGATGTTCAAGCAATTGTCATCAGACCTTTACATTATTTATAAATAAATACCTACTGGATTTCTTTGTACATTTAAAAGCCCCACCCGTCCCAAAAAAATACAATTGAGAATATAAAATTATTCAACATATATCCAGCAGGGTTCGACACTAACGTTAGTCCGTTAGTCTCAGACTAATACATTTTCATTCAGACTAATAAAATCTGTGGCTAATTAGTCCAAACGGACCAATAAAAATTCCTGAAAAACATTATGAATAATTTACCACAACTTTTATTCGAAAACCCAACATTTATTTTTAGCTTTCTACCTTCTTGGCTGGTAGTTAGACAATTTCGAGTCAGCGCTTAATTTTTCGACTGATTGATATGAAGTAAAATGTTCTAGCGATTATAATTTATATGACACATAAAAGAAAGATGTCAGACATTTTGGATGTAATGTAAAGAGAAAAAGAACGAGATCGGGAATACGATCGTACCTGTTGATCGCGAGATTTCAACGAATCTGTGTTGTGGAAAAAACCATTTCACGTAAATGCTTTGTTTATTTAAAAAAAAGTATAAAAACGTATATTGAAATGTTCATTTTTTAATTCATGTTACAAAACATTGATGTTTCCTTTTTTGACGGACTCATAAAATTGCATGCGGACTAGTAAAAGTAAAGAAGCACTAGTCTGGCCGGACTAAAGCCTAAAAAAATTAGTGTCGAACCCTGCTCAGATTGGGATCACCAATTCCCCAAATTGGATATAGTGCAATAGCCATTTGGGATGTATGAGATATATTTACAGAGCAAACAATGTAGATTTTACTTTTACCTATAAATATTCTAGATCCACATCATAATACATGTACTTAAATAGCAACAACGTTTGGTTAAGAAGTTTGTCTGTATCCCCCACCATACAGGAGATTGATCCCTCAGATCCTGAACTTCTTGGAGATCAATCTCATAAACTGTAGGGTTATAGAACAACTTGCTTGCCTAAAGTTACAGCATTGAACTAAAGTGAATTTACAATATTCATTGCCAAAATATTTTTTCTTCATTTTTTGCGCTGTAAATATTGATCTATGCAGGCCTTATGTGCTCAAAGCATGAAGAGAACTACGTAAGTAACTGAGTAAGTAAGTTTGATTCAAATCAAATAAAAACACAAAAAAATAACGTTACTGATTTCCTTTGACTTCAATGAAAGGGCATAATCTTCCTATTAATTCTGGAGTCAATCCCGAGGCTCAAATCCCGTTAAGTACAAAGAACTAAGTAAAGCAAAGGGCTTTGCTTAAGGTCTACATTTAAAATAAATGCAAAGTCCAACAGAAATATTTCGGAATGTTTGAGCTGGTAGCAGAAGGAATTTAGATGATGAATTTTGATTGGTGAACATTCAATTCTCCTCGCGAATCAAAAGTGATTTAACATAGCAATAGTTAAGCAACCGTACATAATATAATTCGTACAAAAAAAATCGTGTTTATACTATGCAATGTACTTTTTCAAACTTTATTTATATGACAAAGCATACATGTATAACTAAATTAATCAAGATTTGAAGCAGGTCTCTGCAAAAATTGAAGAGAACCCCCCCTCCCCCAAATTTTAATTCACTCTCGCTTATCAGCAAACTTTATTTATGTGACAAAGCACACATGTATAATAAGTAAAGTAATCAATACTGAATGAAAGCAATGCCCAAACCACATGAATGCCAGATGCAGAGTTTTTTTGTTTTTTGGGGGTTTTTTTGTTTTGTTTTTTGTTTGTTTGTTTGTTTTGTTTTTTTGTTTTTTTTTTTGGTTTTTTTTTTGTTTGTTTTTTTTTTTTTTTTTTGCATACAGTAGACATGAACCTCTTATTGGTAAAGAAAAACTAAATGTAGAATATGACAATCACGTACCCTCTCCCCTTCTAGTTTCTTTGATTGTATTGAAAAGATTGTCAGTCTGTTGAAAACATAAACAATCTGCCCCCCCCCCCCTTGATTGAACCCGGGGCCTCTGGCTTGCCAGTCCAGTGCTCTACCAATTGAGCTAAAGGGTTAACCCACTAGCCCAAGCTGGAAGGAAGCCATATATCTGACACTACCACATTGTCCCCCTCCAGAGAATGAGATGTCCTCATCTCTTTTGGAGTACCGACGCCAGTGAGACGAAGTTCTGGGGGCAATCACTTTCACCCGCCAGAGAACACCCGGGTCCCTACATGGGCGCCAAATGTAACAGAAACATTTTTGTGCCTCTGCTAGGGACTGAACCCGGGGCCTCTGGCTTGCCAGTCCAGTGCTCTACCAAGTGAGCTAAACGGTTAACCCACTAGCCCAAGCGAGTAGGAAGCCAATTATCTGACACTACCACATTAGATTTTAGCAGGACGTTTAACGACTACAGCCCTCATAGTAAGGTTTCACTTTTTTGGTCAAACATGTAATATAAGAAACTCAAGAAATTATAGTGGTGAAAGTTTGAATTCCCAATGGAACTTAACCTGCAATCAAAATATTTATAGTGTCGAGTTGTAAATCTTGAATTTAACAAGTGGCAGTAAATACCAAATTTACGGTTGTCATGTTGAAAATTGTATATTTACTGCTACCCAGTAAATTTGAAAAAAAAAAACAAAATATGACAGCAGCTGTGCATCTTGTCAGACCAAATCAATGAAGAATCTAATAGAGTTCTTTCTTAAAACAACTTATTGCATGTAGATGATACACTATATATTTTTATATGATATACTGTATATTTGAAAACTGAAAAACAAACAAACAAATAAAAGTGACATGGAAAACCCTACCTATGAAACACCACACTGTCTTAAGGGTACAAAATATGCGTCATAGTGTCTAGCTGCAGATCTGTAGCTCGCTGGTCTATAAAATTGAGATGGACGACCAGAGAGCTACAGTGCCACCCATTGAAAAAAGTGTATATCTATTGCGTAAAAAAGTGTGCTGTTTTCTCGATTTATTTCTCCGTATATTTCATCCAATTGGAATTTTTATGTTTATTTGTAGATTTATAGCATTGTTTTAGTCCGATGTCTGAAAGACGCTGTGAGAAACGTAACTTACGGTGAGAGGGGAAGGGGGATTTTCCGCTGTAGATTTAAAACGTGTCGTTTAAAAAATTACAAAAAAATATCAAAATTATTTTTTACAACCAGTTTCACGAAGAAAGTATTTTTTCCAAAATTAAACGATACTTGTTTTTTTTTCATTAAAAAATATTTAATTTTAGTTTTCATCTTAGCATTAAATAAAAGCAGTTTTTCAGTTTAAATTCTTCAAGATTATTTTTGTCGATGATGTTTACCTCTACAAAATTACTTTGTGTATTTAATAGCTAGTTAAACAAATCAGTCACCAAAATTTGACAGCTAGGCTAGCCTGACATTTTTGAAAATCAAGGGTTTTATAGTTAGTCGGTTGAAAATTTTGTCCTCCTCATGAACAGCCAAAGGGGAGCAACTTTTGGAACTTCCTGTCCAAATACGACTCGAACGATTTTGTCCAAAATTTGCATACACATTGTATAAATAGTCATGTATATACGAAAGCCTATTAGGATCAAACTACGGTAAAAAAAAAATTAAAAGGCGTTATAACGCCTTTTCGAAAGGCGTTATAACGCGAAAAAAGGCGTAATAACGCAAATAAAGGTGTAATTACGCCTTTCCAAAAGACGTTATAACGCGAAAAAAGGCGTTATTACGCCTTTCCAAAAGGCGTTATTACGCCTTTCTATAAGGCGTTATTACGCCTTTCTAAAAGGCGTTATTACGCCTTTCAAAAAGGCGTTATTATGCCTTTTGAAGGGCCATTATTATGTCTTTGACAGGCCCGTGCTTTTAAAGTGGGGGGGGGGGTCCCATAAAATTGACAAGCAAACAAAAAAACAAGACCCCCCCCCCCCCCCGAAAAAAAATAAACTGCCTAAACTTGAGGGGAAACTTTTTCTAATTTTTCGGTAAAACTTTTTTTAAATGCAATGACTTGCCCGAGTTTAACCATACTGCAACAAAATGTTAAGGGACCAAGTAATTAGCAATTTTTTATATTTAAACTATAGCAAGACTATTCTTCCAAAAAGTGGGGTGGGGGACCCCCCCCCCCTCACATTCGTACTACCGGCCTGTTTGAAAAGGAGTTGTATCCAAAAATGGAAAGGCGTTATTCTAAAATAGTAAATATATGAAAGATTGAACCAAAGCCATCTTTATTTATGCAATATTTAGATTATAGATTTAATATTATAAATTATATTATAAATTATAGTATTTTCTATATTCCTGCACATATCGCAGACAGTTGTTTGCATTTTGCATGCATATTAAGAGAAGTCAACACTCTACTTTTGAAAATCCAGGATATAGGCAGAACCAGCTTTGGGCTTTCTTTTAGAAAGGCGTAATAACGCCTTTTGGAAAGGCGTAATAACGCCTTTTAGAAAGGCGTACTAACGCCTTTTTTCGCGTTATAACGCCTTTTGGAAAGGCGTAATTACGCCTTTATTTGCGTTATTACGCCTTTTTCCGCGTTATAACGCCTTTTCAAAAGGCGTTATCACGCCTTTTAAAAAGGCGTTATAACGCCTTTAAATTTTTTTTTTACCGTAGTTTGATCCTAATAGGCTTTCGTATGTATAAAATAAAGATAAATAGTGAAAATTAAACGACAGAAATTGTTGGGGGTGGGGGTGTTGTACATCCTTAATGTTCAGAAATAACTAACATACTCTATTTTAAAGGACAGGGTTCGTCTGATGCCATTTCGGCCCTGTGTCCATATCAAATAATATTCCCCAAAGTTCTCTCAGAGAGTGTATATTTTTATGAAATTATCAATATATGCATGCACAAAGCTTTATTAATGTTTTATATTAACGTAAAAGTAGCATAGTTTACCGTTGCACATTTTTGAAGTTGCTTTATGCGACGTCATGAACAAGAATGGAACGCCATGTGTTTTAAAATAAATCTATCTTCCATGTATATATCATTATGTATGTTTATAAAATTCCATTTTCATAAACTTATATTGCGATGTTTTGGTATACATGTGATAGCATACCATGCTTACTAAATTATTTTTCATAATTAAAGACAAATCTTTAAAACAATTGGTATGGCTGGTTTTGAAAAATTTGACTCATAAGGGAAAAAATGTTGTGTACATGTATAGTACATTCTTAGCGGATTTCTCACTTTTCGCACCCCGTATTGGCACAAGCAAAGTTGTTGGGTTAGTTTGTTAACTTGACGAGGCGCAATTACCAAGCTTTGTGAAAGACTATTAAAAAAGACCGTTAAACTTTTTCTCAGATTTTGATTCCAGGAGTTAAAGAAAATGACTTTGGGCGTAACTATGTCAGTATGGCTTGCAAGCTTTCGGCCTTTTTTGCTTATTTGCATTTTATTTTCAAAGCCCACTGTTTACTTCTCCGCAAGTACTTGACATTGCTTTTCTATGGCTTGATTTACACCATCGTCTCAAGCCACAGCTCGGAGTCCGCACATCAGGCCCTGTAGGAAGGCTAGCAATTTCAGTTGGGGGGGAGGGGGGGGATGCACAATTAATTTACTTGTTAACCTAGTATACATCTTCACAATGTCAAGGTTTTGTGATATCGTTTCCTCTTCACAACATTTTGCAGATTTATGGGTAAGATGACCTACAGTCTACTTGGTCTTTTAACGATATTTTAAAGACTTTTACATTTATTCATCCCCATGATAGACAGGGACATAATGCACACAATTTGTAACTTAATGCCTATGAATAACGAAAAAAAAAATCAAAGGTCAGGCCCGTAGAACGCGGGGGGGGGGGGCACCCCCACTTTTTTCTGCGTATAATTTTTTGCTATAGAAAATTTTCCTTGAGATGCTGGTTGCCCCCCCCCCTCCCCGACTTTTTGATGTTAATTGTGAGGTCGAGCAAATTCCAGGATTTGGACAGGAAATAACCTTTTTTTTTGGCTTGTCAGATTATTTTGGGAAATGCCCCCTTTTTGGTCAGTTTAGTTTTTTTTTATTTGCTTGTCAAATTTTTTGGGGAAAGTTGCTCCCCCCTCCACTTTTGAAACCATTGCTACGGACCTGAAGGTATAAATGTACAATTGTCATGTATTTTCAACTGCATGATATAAATATGGCTAACTAAGCCCTACCCTAGGGACTAAACATTTGGTTTGGGACCGTTAATTTTAAATTTTGGTAGAGGGTTTATTGTTTATAATAATCATTCAAACTTTGCCTGCTAAATATCAGTGG